TTGCCCACCCAGGTAGAGAAGATGTAGTTCAGCCCAGTGCCAGCAGGTTTTTCACCCGATTGGCGAGCCCGTGGAGCATCCTGGAGCGCCGCACGGCCATGGCCTCCCTGAGCCCTCTGGGCTGACCCTGGCTACAAGGAGAGGCGGGAAGAGATGGCCAGGGTTCGTGCGAATTTTCCCCAAGGGACTGAGGTGCCGGTCAGGCAGGCATGGCAGGAGGAACAGCTGCCTGCCATTTCAGCCTCAGGGTTTGGCTTTGGCTGCGTCTGAGCTGAAAGTAGCTCGTGGAGTGAGCAGAGATGGAGCCATAGAGTGCTGGCTGAGAATGGCTGGGAAGCTGTGTTGGTGTCACATCACCTGAGAACTGATGAGATAGGGGCTAATTGGAACAATGAGACAATCCCTACTTTCTCTTCTCTCTCTCTGAAGGCAACGCGGTGCTGGGAGGAAAGGGGTCCAGGAGACCCCTGGACCTTCCGAATCAGCTCCTGAGAGGTGAAATTAAATGCCGCGTCCTTGAGTATTTGGTAACATCATCATGTAATTAGAACTGGTACATTGTTAAGAAAATCCTAAGGAGAGAAATCCATTCGCACTACAGTACATATTTGGCGTTCAAGGGTCGGCTGTACCAGGCACTCAGAACCCTGCTAAGTATGTCGGACTCATTTGTTCGTTCAGCCACGAGTTACTGCATTTAAAGTGCTCGGACTAGTGCCTTCTACAGACGTGCCCGTAAACATAGTGATTGTTATGCATGCAACAGATACTTACCAGACGCCTGCTTGCGTGACATAGCTGAGGTGCATGGGACACAGTGGTGAGTAAGAGACAGAATCCCTACTCCTGTGACACTTACCTCCTGGTAAGGGGCACAGACAATAAAAAAAGAGGCCAACAAATAAGGATTTAAGAGAGTGTTACATGCTGTGAAGAAATAAAACACCGTGCTGGATCAGAGTGAGATGGCGCTTGAGATTGGCTGGTCAGGGAGCACATCTCAGCGCTTGAACTGTCCCATCTGATACGAAAGAGCCATTTAGTCTTCACAGGGACCCTTTGATTTTCCCAGTTTTCAGGTAAGAAAACGGAGGCACCGGCATTAAGGATGTGCGGGGGGCAGGCAGAGCTGGTCATCCTGCATCCGAAGTGTGTGCTCCCCTTCCCAGAAGGCACAGGACCGCCCGGGGGTGCCACACCTGGTTTTCGGGTCAGAGGAACGAATGGGTTTGCACGGCAGGTCGGGAAAAGTTGCATGTAATTTCGTGGACCCCCAGTCATGGGATATAAATTTGACCGTGAGTGTGAATGTGTGAGTGAGTCAGTAAGAGAGAGAGAGAAACAGTTTACTTTGGGGTCCAAAGTGATCTTCACATTTTCAAAGGTCCTAATGACCAAAAGAGCTTATGGTGCTGCTGCTTTATTTTAGGATTTTCTTGTGGTTTTCCTGGAAATGGGGCCTAGGTGCTTGGGTAGGGTTTTAATAGCAGTGCAGTGGCCATTAGGTGGTGGCGATTTCGTAGGTCAGTAAGAGCGAGAAGTGGGCAGGGACTGGGCTGGAATGGTCAGGTGTCTTACTGCCAAGCCTGTCATGCCATGATGCCAGCCGTGGGGTGTGGAGCTCTGTTTTGATCTGATTACCCGCTTATCCTTACACGTATGAATGTACCCTTTGGCCATGCAAGCGCACATTTGTGAAATAGGTAACTGTTAAAAAACAACAACAAAAGCCCAAAGCTCGGGACGTCAAGGTTCAGCCTCCAAGGAGTGTATTTCCAACAAAGACACACCAACACGAGCGTTTCCTGTCACCAGCTGCCACACCTGGATACTTTCTAAACAGGCTCTTCCGTACTTGAAACCAAAGAGAAATTGTGTCAGTAATAGCGATTGAAACTAAGAGAGCGGCCAAGTTCTGGTCAGATCTGGTCTTTCAGTTTCATAGGATGTGGTTGAGATCAAATACTTGCTTCAGCTGAAAGATTGATCGTGCTGTTACCACGCAGAGACTTCCGGGAGCTCTTGCTTGACAGCCTTGCACGTGGCGTCTGAGGGCTGGGAGGAGGTTTCTGCCTGGAAACGTGATGCTGACAGAAAATGTGTGCTCCGTAGACTGAGGCAGCTGCAAGTACCCTGTGATAGATCTGCTTGGAGGAGGCCTAAGGTTGTAAAAACTGAAGTTGGGAAGGTTATTTTAGCTCATTAGTCATCTCCTGTTTTAAATAGCATCCTAATGGTCTGTCCAGTTGTAGTGGAATTTTACAGTTTGTACAAGCTCGGGGTCACGGGTCCTGGTGCTCCGCTAGGGGTTCCTCTGGCGTGTTGGGTAGAAATTGTGGCCTCGTAATCATGAGTCAAAATGTCCAGGTATCAGCTCTTCTCTCTCTTTGCTCTGTGAGAAGAGACATGAGTGACACAGCTGTCCCTTGGTAGGAACTCTTTCTGTTGTGACATCTGGCTTATGCAAAGGGGGATTTATGGGCTTACATTGGTGGGAAGTCTAGGCTTTGATCTAACCAGGTACAGTAATGCCTTCAAAACTCATTTTCTCTTTGTCATCCTGACAGTGATTTTATTCTTGATCCTTCAGGCATTTGAGTTGAGACCCATCTGATAAGAAGGGACCATTTAATCTTCACAGTGACAAACTCTTTGATAGGCTTTGTTAGTTTCCCTGGTGGCTTTCTGGCGAGGTGACTGGAGCAGCTCCAACCTCCAATGCGCTGACCGCTTAGAATCGCTCTGGCTGGCTCAGCTCGCCTGCGTATCCCTGACCCAGTCAGTCACTGAAGCCAGGGGCATGGGAGGCCTTGGTGGGCCCGAGCCACGTGGTCTGTCCTGAGCCCCACCCTACCACTCTGCCAAGAGTGAGGGACAAGGATCTCCTAGGGGAAGTTGGGGCATCACCCGATGGAGAGCCTGGTCTCTACATGCAGTGAGGGCACAGCCCTGGGTCCGGTCTGAGGCCAGAAGGCCCGAGGACTCAGCCTGTGGGCCGTGTGATAAGCCAGGACAGCCTGTGAATCATCCCCAAGGCCCCCCAGTTGGTTCTCTTCTGAACAAGCCTTGTGCTCCCAGGAATGTGATCCCCTCAGGCTCGGGCTGGTCCATGGGCCAGACCCTTCCACCCCGATGCTGAACCTCATTAGATTGTGGGGATGGGGGGTAGGTTAATTTTCTTTGGAAATAATAAATTGGGGGACATTTAGCTCTCATGGAAAGCTGTCCTATGATTCATCTCCCTCTGGCCCAGCCCCGTCACTTAACAACACTGGTTTCAAATTCTTGCTGCCAGTCGCTGGATTCGTCAGCCTTTTCGATGTGACTTATGGTGAAACACATGATCTCTCTCTTTATCTGTTTTCCATCCTCCTCGGGCAGTTTGATGTTTTTCCTTAAATAGAATATCTTAATGTGCTTTTGATAAGGATTTTTTTTTTAAAGAAGTTGAATTAGTTGGCAGGTATTACAAGATGATGTTGGGAGAAATACATCTCACCAATGCCCTGTTCATTATATGAGGTGACACTACATTTTTGGAATTCAAATTGGATTATATATGTAGTTTTTTTGCATACCCTTGGATTTGTTGGTTCCACTTCTAGGAATTTATTCTCAGGATATAATTATAAATGTTTCCATTTTAGCTGCATGTCCTATTTATTATCCCAGTATTGTTTATAATAGTGAACTATTGGAAGCAAGCTAAATGTCCAACAATGAGAGTCGATTGACACATTTTGGTACCCGCTTTCGAATGAAGACTTACCTGACTATTAAATATGTGTTCACAGAGAGTCTCAACCCTTTTGCAGTGCAGCCCCACGATTTTATTTTTAAGATTTTATTGGGGAGGGGGAACAGCCAAGTTGTTGTCCTTCAATCTTAGTTGTGGAGGGCGCAGCCAGCTCAGCTCCGAGTCCAGTTGCCATCCAGCTGCCCACCGGCAGCTCAGCTTAGGGTGCCGTGTTCAATCTTAGTTGCGGGTGGGCTTCGCCCACCATCCCATGCGGGAGTTGAACCGGCAACATCATTGTTAGGAGCACGTGTTCTCACCAACTGAGCCATCCTGCTACCCGTTGGCAGCTCAGCGTGGGCGCAGCCCATTGGCCCATGTGGGAATCGAACCAGCGACCCTGTTGCGCAGAGCTCGCGCTCTTAGCCAACTGAGCCACTCGGCCGGCCCCGCAGCCCCACATTTTGACAGATAAGTAGTAGGCTATAAGTAGTCTGTGGGTTACGTGCAACGGCTGGTGCTTCAGTAGTAATACCAGTTTTACTGTGGAATCGCTCCCCTTTTAAAAGCGTTGACTGAGACGAGACGTTTGATAGGAAAAAGCGTCTGTGAAAAAGGTTGCTAAATGGAATGTATAATACGACCCCAGTTTTGTCTAAAAGTTCTGTGTACCTAATCTGTGCATGCTTGTATTTCTGTGTGCTGTCCACATGTCCCCCAGAAAAGACAGCAAGGACAGACTCCCAAATGTTAATTACAGTTCGGAAGATACTAGCGGACTTTCTTTTCTTTATGCTTCTCTGTATTTTCTGAACTTGACAGAATAACTGGAATGCTTTTGCATTTGACAGCAGGAGAGAAAGCCTCCGTGGCCTCCCTTCTCTGGCCAGCTCACTGATGTGGTTGGAAACAGATATTCTTTGATTGTACAGGTCTTTTTTCTGTCCCTCTTCCTGTCTACTGTGCATTAGCAGTCAGCTTCCACCGTGGGCTTCTAGGAAGAAACTGATAAGTGTGGCCTTAATGGATTTGGATTTTTTTTTTAAAGAATTATCAAACATTTAAGAGATTGATCAGTGACTACATGGTGAGCCCGAGGGCTGCTGGGAGGAAATGCGGCTCTGGGAACCGCATCGAGGCGCTCGTGGTCATGTAGGTGCTCCTGAAGACATGTGGATGCAGGCATTGACCATCTTGACATCGGGCGCCTTCCTCATCTTCTGACTCATTGTGCAACGTCCTTCCTTGCCTTTCTTTCACTTAGATGCAAAAACCCGGGTCTCATCTACAGTTCACCTATTTTCCGTCAGTTGCTGACAACTGGATTCCCGAGAAGGTGACTGAAAAATGAACAGTTGATGTGTCAGTTGGGTGTTTGAGGACGAGCCGTCTACAATCAGGTAAACCTCCAGGGTGGCCTGTACCCACATGCTAACTGGAAGCAGCGAATTGGTGCCTCATCGGTGGTGGACCTTCCGTGGGGCCGAAGGAGGCCACCTGCTAAGGGAGGAAACAGGCGCCAAGCACCGCACCAGGGATGGAGAGTGGCGTGCCGTTTTTATCATCGCGCCACAGAGTCCAAACCCGAGGCAGCCCTCAGGTTTAAAACAGCAAAAGTCACTGGAAAAGCTGGTGCATAAGCAGAGAATGGCCAGCTGAGAAATCTGGTGCCCCTGGTGGTGCCCTCTGCACAGAAGTGGGCAGCCAGACCTGTCCAGGTCGATAGTGACAGCAAGATACACTCCACGTGCGAGTCTGTAAAATGATATGGCCTTTTTTTTTTTTTCCTTTTTGCTTATGTTGTGTCGTGTGGGATTTAAATGTGCAGCTCAGCTCCGGAGCCCAGAGACCAAAAATGCTTTTTGATTTGGTGTTTGGAAATCGTACAGTACACGGTGTGTTGGCTTGGTTGTATTTGGCAAGTAACAGTTGTTGTCGCCAGCCCACACTGGCTACAGTCCCCAGGCCTCGGCTGGATATATATTATTAGTCTATTTGAAGTATGCAAGGTCAAGAACAGTAAGAATACGTTAGAAAGAAAAGAAAAATGACTTTGTGTGTCGCGGGCTGGTCTTAGGACCTGAGATGATTTTACAGAGCTAGAACCAGTTGGTTTATTTTCTTTAAGAAATTTTTTCTCTTCCCTTCCTCCCTCCCTTCAGCCCTCTTTTCTTTTGCACTTTTGAGACTAGTCGCTGTAGAAAGTCACATGTTCCAACCCTAGCTGCAACTGCTGTCTTAGCTTGCTGCTGCTGTGCACTTTAGGACAAAAAGTCTTTGAAAAGCATGAAAATAGCAGCAGACGGGTCTCGTTTGCTTTGGCAGAGGGAAGGGCTTTTCCTCCCAAGTAGCTCTGGGTAAGACCTAATCTCCAAAGGTGATCTTGTAAGTCCCAAGTTCCCAGTGACAGCAAGCTCAGCGTTTCAAATGCTTGCTCAGTCTTTCCTCCTCGGTACTTTTGCAAGTTTACTTTCTAGGAAGTGATTTACAAACAGACACCACCCATTTCCCATCGTTTTCTCGGGTCATCCGGCCTCAGCTGCTGCCAGGTAGGATCAAGGGGAGCTTGTGGTCTCGCTTTGAGACTCCCCAGAGGGGCGGCTTCTGCCCTTGCAGCCGCTTCGGCCTCTGGCAGCTGGAGGAAAGCTGTCTGAGGAATTCATGGGCTCATGTTCTGTGGCCTTTGGGTGTCTGGCATATAGAGTAAGAAGTAAAAATATGCACCCAACTGGCTCTCCCAACTGTTTAGATGAAAGTTGGAGAGATGGGGTTCCTGTTGCTAACGGGTAGAAATGCCGGCATTTGTCAGTGGCGTTCCCACATAGACGCCAGGGGGGACAGAATGGGAGGCGTAGATTGGGCCTGCTCCTTCCCTCAAGGAAGCCTCCAGTAGGTCTCGAGGGCCTGGGCGCCAGCCTTGGCCTCCTGGTTTTGAGTCCTCATTCCCAAGGTGTTCCTTGGGGGACAGGCTCCCCATTAGCAGTCCGCCGCAGCGTCCCTGTGATCGGGCTTCCTGACCCCGCCAGCTGCAACCACGAGCCAGCTGGCTCCGGCCTGTTTTTCCATGTCAGGGCCCATTGCTGACCCTGCAGAAATCAAGCTAAGGTGAGTGAGGCGCGGCCTGGCCACAGCAGCAATGCGGTTGTTCACCCGTCCAGATTGGCGTGGCCCTGCGTTCACCCTCCCTTGGGTCTTGTTTCCCTGGGCTCTCAGGCTCGGGCAAGGGGTGTGGGAGCCGTTCTCCGAGGAGGCAGAGCTCCTGTCCTCAGGAGGCCTGTCAGCGGGGAGCTTCAGCCTCTCTGGGTGCCAGAGAGTGGAGGTGGCCCCACAGTCTTCATGCAGACCTGTCATTTTAGTGCTGGGATCCCAGAAACTCAGAGAGGTTCAGTGATTTGTTCAAGGGCAGCCTTTGCTTGGTCGTCTGAGACCAGAACCAAAGGCTCCCTGGGACGTGACTGTTCGTGTGGACCCCGTACCTCTGGAGAACAACACGTAGGTGTTGGTACTGTACCCTTTCTCCTGGGCCGCCATCGCCCCTTAGGGGAGAGGTGCGCCCCGGCACGCACCATAGCAGAGAACGGCAGTGAGGCCAGCGATACACGAGGTGTGTGTGTCGAGTTCGAATCCCCTTTCCTGTGTAGACAGGCTGTGTGACCCTGGCCAAGTCCCTTAAACTCTATTCAGTGTCCCCCTCTGTAAAACCTAAAGGTCGTGTTCTCTTCCTTAAAGGGTTGTAGGAGCTTCAATGCAGCAGTTCATGCCCATCCCCTCAATATGTACATGCAATTTAAAAGATGCTGCTTTTAACAGGTTTTAAAAGTCAGCCCAGCCCTTTGCCTCCCTCCTGTCCATTTCCTGCTCCGGTCACTTAAGGACCAGGACAAGACCCACCTTGTCTGTGGACCGTCCCATGGGTACCCTTGGGTCTGACAGGCTGGGTTTCTTCCGCGGTCCCGCTGCTGCGCAGTGAAGAAGCCTTGGCTTCCTGTGTGTATGGGCACTGACAGTGTCCATGGCTGTGCGGTGTGCTGGGGAGGGTGCATGTAAGCATGCAGCCCACGTTCCTCCTGGTAGCTCCTCACCAGCCCCCCACCTTTCTCTCTTTTCCCAATCGCACTGAGGCTTTGTGCAACATCCTGTTCCCTAAGAGGCATTGGGTACTAGTGAGACATACTTGTCTGGCTGTCATTGCACAGAACTGCCCAAGGGACAGCAGCAGCTTCCTGAGCCCTCTTTGGGGCCAGAACCCCCACAGGGACGGCAGCCTCTAGGATTGCCCTCAGCCCGGCAGTGCCAGCTCCAGGCTCGGGGCAGGCAGGCGGCCAAGCCCATCCCAGGAGCAGCAGCAGGGGGAGGCTGGAGGCTGATGTGCAGGGCGGGAGGCAGAGCAGTTGGAGCCGAGCTAGAAGGAGAAGCCCTGGAGGCTGGTCTGGGTCCAGCTGAGCAGCTGCTGTCTCCCATCGTTCAGGTAGCCCCAAGCTACAGCTGTGTCTAGAAGTGGGTTTCCTGGGTTTTTTCATTTTTCTTTTTTCTTTCTTCTTCCTGCCTTTCCCTTCTCCCCAGCCCTCCATGGCCCTGGCTTCATTCAACTCATTTAGGTCACTTAGCTGAAGCAAGGGAGCAGAGTTACTTACCGTGAGGACAGGGGAGCCGCTTGGCGTCGGGGGGTCCTGCCTACCTGCCCTGCCCTGCCCCCCAGCAGAGCTGGACTGGCTCCTGAAAAGGGCACTGTTCTCGGGCAAGGGAGGCTCGTGTCTGTCACGATATTAACAACTTGGCGATATTAACAACTGGCAGAGGCCGACACTTGCTGTGAGCAGGTATTGGGCAGAGCGTGTCACATGGATCGTCCCATCTACTCCACCCACCAGCCCTGAGGTCCATCTGTCCCCTTGGAAAGTTATGCGCTGACAGCCACACGGTGGGTGCGATCACCTCCATTCTGCTCCAGGTTCTCCCTCCCCCGCTGGCTCTTGGACGTCATTGTGCCTGCACTTCTGTCCCTGTGACATGAGGCGATGACCTCCAGGGCTGCGTCCCTGTCGTTGGTATCGTGGACTGATGAATACAGAGCAGTATTCACTAGTAGCGATGCTGTTACTGATGACACTTGGCTCTGGGGTGCCCAGCGGGCTGCAGCCGTCCACTTCAGAGACGTCACTGGGGGACCGACCGGGAAGGCAGTTCCACGACATGAGTGTGAATGAGTAGCTAGGAATCCTGTCTTTTTTTTTTAAAGAATTATCAAACATTTAAGAGAT